AGGGCTGGAGCGCGCCGGCCTGGGCCGGCGGCGCGGGCGGGCGCGCTCGCTCCTGCCTAACGATGCAGTTATCCCAATGGCATTTTTGTATTTTTGGGAGACAGATGTGCCCTGCAGTTGCTAGTGGAAGCTGAACGTTAAATATGAAACCCATTCATTTTCTCTTAGTCATACTTGGGGTTTAAGGAGATGTTTTTTCTAATTTGTGGTTTTCAAGTGCAGCGTGCTGACAAGACATTTACCGTTGACTACGACTTTATCCATGCACTTTAGCAAATTGGCCAATTATTAACAGTGGGTGTTGCACGGCGGTTGATGCGCAGCTCCTGCTGCTTTGAAAGGCCTAAACTGACACTTAACACATTCTTACAGTATAAATTAATTGAGCTTTGCACCACATCCCCGTTATTCAAGGGTACTCTTGCTCTCATCTTAATAACGAGCGGCCATTTGTAGCGTGTTGAATAGCTGTGCCCTCTGCTAGCAGAGGCTCCTGGTGACGGCAGAAGCGGTGGCTAACGTTTTTCTGGTAAGGGCATGAAAACGGCCGGTGGGGTCCCCAGTGTGGGCTGCGCCCCATACGGGGGAGCGCGGGAGGGCGCAGGGCAGCGGCCGGGGAGGGGAAGACTGGGGAGATGTCCCTGCCATTCCCAGGGGCTCTTCCCAAAGCCGGGAACCACCGTATGCCTGAGATCACCATCTCCTATTTTCCCAGTTCAGGAATTCAAGCAGGCAATATCATCCTTATGTATTCATCCCATTTAAGAGACTTAAAGAAGAACAGTCAATGCAGCTCTGGTTTCTGGAAAGTACAAAGACTTTGATTTTGGCCAGCTGACCCTGTAGAAATTTTGCCTTGTGTTCCAGTTGAACTGTGAAAACTTTTCAAAATGGTTTGTTCATATTGTAGCTGCTGCCATTTCTGTTTCTGAAATAGCGGAACGAGTGACTGATGCAAAGATTTTTCGTCATGCTTCTAACGTTAGTTTTTGCTCTAGCTTCTGCCAAATCATTTGCTTTATTTTCCTCCTCTGTATTGCCCTCCACATAATAGGGAGACTCTTTACTTTTTTACAGAATGGACTGCCATGAACATTAATTACATGAGAATTGTAAACAGTAAAAATAATTGTGTGTGTTGTGTCATATCTTCCTAAATATGTAAGGTGTGAAGTACTTAGTGGATTGGCCTCACGTTCCCATTTTGTGTTTCTTTCTTCTGTGGGAAAAGGGTGACCCTTGTTCTTAATGGACGTGATGGTAACATCACAAAAGCAGATGTCTCAGCAGGGAGATCAAAGGTTGCATGAGTCAGAGAGAGAGCAAAAACCTTAGATGTGGGGATGGCCTGGGAGGGCTTAGGTTGCCCCCATTCCTGTTTTGCGTTTTAGGTCTGAATCCTACAGATATTTTAAATGAGCTGAAGGCCGGATTCAGAGCTCTCAAGGGTTAGTGGAGGGTGAAATGGAGAATTCAGGAGATCCTTTTCAATCAAAGTGTTACAGGGAGACAAATAAGTCAAAGATACGGCGGCGGATGCTTAAGCAAGGAGGGTGGGTTAAGGCTCTGGGTTAAGGTTTCCTCGGTTTAGGTAAGCTAAATCTCCAAAAGCGGCTGTTTATCCCATGCAACGCTTTAGTAGGAAGCAACCACAGTGAAAATTCAGATGAATTTAGCTAACCCATATCCCGATCCTTTCTAGCGCTGCCAAGCTCCTGGAGAAGACTCCGTTCTCTGTCAGCACCCCGAACCCTCTGCTTCCTTCCCCTGCAAGTCTTCAGCTCGCCCAGCTCCAGGCTCAGCTTACGCTGCACAGGCTAAAATTGGCCCAGACAGCAGTGACCAACAACCCAGCAGCTGCCACTGTTCTCAATCAGGTCCTCTCCAAAGTGGCTATGTCTCAGCCACTCTTTAACCAGTTACGACATCCTTCCATGATTAATGCTCCTCAGGGGCACACCGCAGGACCTCCACAAGGGCCTGGGATCGCTAATGCCAGGTTTCCATCCAGTGGACTGGCTTTTCCAGCGCAGAGCCCAGCGCTAGCAGCGCCAGGAGGGAGCCTGGGGCCGATTGGGAGCGTCCCGGCCCAAACCTCGAACGCTATCGTCATGAATCCCTTCGGAGGTGTGATGGCTCCCGCTTCCAGCCAGCAGGCTGTGGTCGTGGGTCTGAACAAGGCTGGCCATTCTTCCACGGCAGGCGGGTTTTATGAGTACAGCAAGCCAAACGTCCCTGCCTCTCCGGTGTACACTGCGGACACGGATCAATCCAGCCAGCACGGCTTCCTGGCTGGCGGGCCGCATCCTGTCACCTCCTCCGCAGGGGTCCACTATGAGGGTCATTTTGGCCCTTCGAGCCAGCCCAAGCATGATGGCCAGCCCGGTTTCCAGAAAGACGTCTACGGGGCAAGCGCAAAAGGCCAGCATGCGGCAGCGCTGGCTTTCCCCAGCGATCTGCACACGAATTCTCCTCAGAAGGGAGATCCAGGCCCAGTCTTACATGGCACAGGTACAAACAACCAGTGGGAAAATATCCCTAATTTCACCAGCCAAAACAAGCCTGACCTCATGCCCAGTGACAGCATGTGGCCATCAACAAGTCAGCAGTATGAAATAAGAAACGAGCTCTACAACCCTGAAGAACCGACACCTGACACGAAGTTTAGTGCTGTCGCTCCCCCCACTTTTAACAGGCTCAACAATAGTAAACAGAGTTTTAGCAGCTCTCGAATGAGGCAGAATGAGGAACTGAGCACAAACCCACCCGATTTGCCCATGCGAGCGCTCCAGCCTCACGAACTGAACGACTTTCACGGCATAGCCCCGCTTCACTTCCCACATGTCTGCGCAATATGCGAGAAAAAAACCTTTGATCTGAAGGTAAGTGATTTTAATGCGCTCAGAAGCGTGATCTGAAAAGTGATTCAGTTAATGGGCTTTGAAGGGGTACCCTGTCCGTGTGCCGGGTGATTTATTTAACTGCCTCTCCAACCTACTTGGCTCTTGATGTAGCAATGCTCACAAGGCAAACGCTGTCACCCCTGCAGCCCCCGTGCCGATCTTCAGCACAGATACCCAGATGGAAGCATAAACAGGATTTTGTAGGCCTGGGTTAGAGCACTGTCTGTCTGTCTCATGGCAATTACTGAGGTTTCAAGATCTGTTTTTGTTCTGCATTTTGCTGTGAAAATATGAAAGAGAAAATGTGTGTATATGTGGCAGTCCGTGGCTGAGAGATTATGGTACTGGCGTGAGAAATGCGAGATCCAGGCTCAAGTTGTTACTCATCTCTGATCACTCCAAATCAAGCGGGGGAGGAGCTTGGACTTGATCCTCCGCTTCTCAAGCCAGTAGTGTAATTGCACATCTGCAGTTTCATCTGGTCTCCCTTTGTCCTTGTGTTTCTAATCCCAAAACCTTCCTGAGAAAAGCCTTGTGGAAACCATGCGCTTCAACAAAGTGGCACATTTTGATAAAACAACTATAATAATTTTCTCTGTTGGGAGGTCCTCCTATGGAAGTAGGAGGAGGAGCCCTAAAAAAATTCCAAGATTCAGGGGTCCTCAGTGACTTTGTCAGGGAAGCCAGAAGCTACTGAGCACATGTAGCGAAAAACTGTGATCCCAGTTCTTCTCCATCGCTGGCCCCTTCTGCTTTTTCTGGCCATGTTCATACTGTCACCGGAGCTCCAAATTCAAGCTCACGCTTGAGAGGAAACTTCCTGGTTGTCTGGAGAGCCTGTGTGTAGGGTCGGGTCTGGAGAGAGCCAGCTGGCCCTTCAAGCCCGACTGCCGTCGTGGGCTCTGGGAGTGGCTCTGCCCTCCTGGGGAGCCTAGCTGAACACGGCTTTGTGGGCTTTTTATATCACGTTGCAGGACCGGTACCTCATGGCACAGGCATGTGTTTTCATGCTGACGGTGGCCTGACAAAAGTGTCTTATAACAGCCCTTTATATAAGAAGGAAGAATGCCAGCAAATGAAATAGTGTCTCATACTTATAATCCAGCATCTTATATCGGAACTGGATATTCATTAGCTGAACTGTGCGTATACCTTCTAGCTATGGGATGTTTGAATGTATTTGGCTCTTCGACGTTTCCCTTTTACTCTTAGAACAGCTGCTTGCAAAATTGCTTGTCATGGTGACTCCTGCAGTGGTGTGAAACGCCCCTGTTAGGGGCATGCTGGACTTTTTTTCATTACGCATTTAGAAAGTGGGAGGAATGTCATGGGGTGCCTCTACATTAAAGGAGTTGAGGATGCTCAGTGCCTTGCAGGATGAGCTCTTCAGCTAGTATAAATTAACTGATTTAATAGAAATAAACATTGATTTAACAACCTGTACAGAGATCTCCTTTTGTAAAGTAACTGACAATTTAACTTACAAGTAATGAATTTGTAAATGTATTGGGTGAAAGTGTACTTGGCTCCAGTATCTTTCAGTTTGATCATCAGTATGTCACTGTTCTTTTTAGAATAAGGTAAACTGAATGGAGAAGCAGTCTCTTGTGAATTTGTCTCAGGATTTTTCCCTGTGCTCATCATCTCTTTGTTTCAACATAGGACTGGGATCAGCACACTAAGGGAAGTCTTCACATCCAGAAATGTGTGGCTTTTTCAGAGAAGTAAGTATTGTTTTAGAGGCAGTCTTCCAACTGAATTTCTAATGGAGCATCCCTTATTTCAGTGGCTTTACATCAGAGACTTCCTGTCTAATAATTAAGTTTCTGATATTCATGGCACATTATGCCTGCTCCTAAAGTTCTTTTCTTCTTTTCCAGCGCTGGTATCCGCTGTGTATTAAGTTCAGCAGATGGAACATTGCATTTATCTCCAAATAACGCATCAGTTTTCAACACATCTAGTATCGAAGGTGAATGGTTGCATGTGCAATAATTAAAAATACTTATTTAATTAAAAGAAAAGTCAGTCTTTGGGGGAAAAGTGGACATTTGAAATAAAAATATGATAAAAGCTTTCAAGGTAAACAGGTTAGTAGAAGATGTGCACAGAGACACTAAAAGGGAAAATTGTGCCTTTAAAGTGTGAATTTATCTTTCGTTCAAACAACAAAACAATGTATAATTTGGTACCAAAACGAGAAGATGAAATCTTATATAAAGGGGGCATTTCTTACTGAGCACATTAATGCAGCTAATCTGAGTCAAGATTTTCATGAAATGTGTGTAATCCATTATTTAGATTATCCACCAAATGTCGGCTCATCTTTTATCACCACATCAGCAAGATCCTTTGGCCAGCCAGGTCCTACGTTTTCTTCTCTTCCATCAGGGGTAAGAGTGAGTATCTAAGCCAACTGATCTCCCTGTTTACATCCTTGCAGAAGCCACTTTCTACTTGCTTGATTTAAAAATATATCAGTTTTAGGCTTCTTTGTAGACAATAATCTAAACATTCAGATTATTATTTAAACTTACCTGCAACTCTGTTTTGCTTTTGGTTTGGGTCAAATCAGAACTTCACTGTGGACTTTTTTCCATGTTGAATGCTGTTTGCTCTTTAGGAGAAATTGAGGGGGGTAGATTGCTGTGTATGTACCCACATATGTACCCACTCTGTGTATGTACCAGAGTTTTATTCCTCATTTTCTGAGACTTTTTGACCCAGGGGGGTCAACTTCAGCTTGAAATAAAGATTTGGGTTAGTTTTTACTTTTTCAGAGTATTGATCCCAGTGAGCAACCTGTCATCTCTCCAGTTATTTCTTTTGTAGCAATTGTTTTCTGCCTCTGCTGTGCTGGGATCTTTCTCCCAGGTAGCAATAATGGTGAAGGCCGTGGCTGCAGCTCTCTAACCGTTATTCGCTTGGGGCTCCCAGTGCAATTAAGGATGCTTCATTATGTTGGACTAGCTTTTTCTTATTTTTTTCAGCGTGTTATTTATGTCATCAGCTGCCACTTCAGTTTGCTTTGGTGTACAGCCTTCCATGTTTTTGGTTTATAAAACCCCCCAGTGTTTGACACAGTCCCCAGTTGCATTGCTGTAGTGTGTGCTTGAATTACTGTCCCAGTGAGCAAAAAGTGCCAGACGGAAGCTAACATTAAAAGTGGTTCTTACACTGAGGAGGCAGAGGGATTAAAAATGGACAGAAATCGCAAGAGTAAGAACTCCACATACACAGTAATGGAAGTACAAAGATGTTAGGGTTACAATGAAGCTCAGCATATATTGGAAAGCTACGATGAAAGCTGGAGACATCCAGGATTCATGTTAGGGTGTCTGGAATAGCAGCCAAAATCCAGCAGTTCGTATTTTTATCTTGTTGCTTTTGTGTGTATCTCGCCATGGTCTCCAGCATCCCAGGAACCTGGGCTGAGTCGTGACCCCCTGTCACTGCAGTTCACATCAGGCATCATTTACAGAAATGTTACCCAGATTTGTGTAATGTGGTCAGTTTTGATCTCTGCTGCTTTGCTGTAACGGGGTGCTTGCAGAGGCTTTTGCGCCTGCCTGGTGCAGAAGGGATGAGCGTAGGGAGGCGAAGAGCCGAGCAGCCGCCTCCGAGGTCAGAGGTGGAGTAGCAGTGGCTGCAGAGGAATGCTCCTTTTCATCATGTCTGTCAAGCTAGCAATAAATGAAGTTACTGCTAATACCAGTATCGTTTCTCCTTAGAATCTGTCACTATTTATCATTTAAGCTGCCTGCAAAAGTCCTCCTTCTGAATGATCTGCTGTACTATGAGAGACAGAAGAACTAATAGCTTTTGATTTTTCTGGGCACTGTAAATCCCCTGTTTCTTCAGAAGCTCACTGGGAAGACAGGGAGCTATATTAGAGGTGTTAAGAATGAGTTTACCAGCTGTCATTCACCCCACAACCCAGGTGGTTTATAATTTATTACACCTTTGCACGGTAGTATTCACTTTCAGCTAAGCCACTGCCATTTATCTGAGCAGCGGGAGATTATACTTGACCCTGCACGTATCATAAGCAAAGTATTCAGATTTCTGGAAGAGCTTGTTACGTGCTGTCCGTTTGCAAATAACTCTGTCCCTCTACAAAAGGCAGAGTGCTACAAGCCCTCACTCAGGCATGGAAGGCCATTGGCAGTGGAGGGATGGGACAGTCAGTTTCCAATTACCTTTAGAAAAGGTGCCTGCATGCAAAGATCAAGAAAGGGATAAAGAGTCTCAATAGTAAGAAAGCAAGAAATGGAGAAAAAGATTTAACAAAAAATACCACACTGGAGGGGTGAAATAATATGGCAAACTATATGAGGTGCATTTCCGTGTTATGCGTCGAATAATTTGTTGAACAAATTATTTTTGTTGTAGTTGCCCAACTGCACAAGTAAGCCCCTGTAGAAATTGATTGCAAAGAAATTTAATTTATAGTCTTGTTAAAAATTACACTCAATACCCGACACATAACAGCTTTCACTTACTGAGTGCAGCTATGGAAGGTGGGTATTCCTTTCCTGGCTGTTATTTACAGCTGTAATTAATGAATGGATCCAGTTTAACTTCAATCAGCTGAGAAGATTTTTGCTTGGTACAGCTCATCCATTCCTGTAGTATGACTGTCTGACTGCTTCTTAATCATGAATTATTGCAGTTTTGCAGCACAGCTTTTTAATTTAAGTCACTGCCAGTTTTGGGGAGGTGGCAACATCTTACAGTCATCTGATTTAATGCACTGCTGAGTGTTTGTCAGAACAGCAACTAAATCTTTCTGGTCCTGTATGTGCTTAGCATACCATCTCTTAACAGGTTATATTCTCCTTTTGCGTGCCGTGTGCCATCTGCCAGACACACACAACCATCCTTTCCTTTTCTCTTCCAGTGCAGTTGGGGTGCTTCATCTTTTTCAGGATCAGGTCTTTGTTATCTGACTACTAGAGAAAATTCCTTACTTCTGGACTTGGGCACTTCTTTCCTTATGAACCTGGGCAGTCTGTGTAAGATACAGCTAAATAGCAGCTCACTGTATCATACGGTGTCTTAATGCAGCAAAAATACACAAATGGTTAAGTGGTGAAGTCTGCAGTGCAGGTAACAGGACGCAGGGGTCACTAAGATAACATTAGCTTTGTAACTTGTGAATTTGCTGACCAGCCAAACATTAGAGATGGCACTGGTGAACTCGATCCTGTGAGCTCACATGGTTTGCATCTTCCCTTGAGTTGCGCAATTAGCTGAAGCTACAGTTACTTCTTTGGTAAAATCCCACATGGACCAAACAGCAGAGGTCATAAACAGGGAAGTAGTCTGGAAAGACTTATCTCCTGCACGGGCAATGTTTTGAGTGTCGTTAGCTGAGGCAAGTTGTATCTCTCTCAGTATATCTTGGCGCCTCTTTGAACTGGAGTGCAAAGCTTCCCTTCCATGCCAGGGAGACGGGAGGCTCTTTGGGAAGCGCCCCAGCGCCCGAAACAGCCTCCACCCGCGGGCAGGGGTGGCTGCGCAGCCCCGCAGCGAGGGAGCTCTGCTGCCCGGCGTGCCCCAAGGGAACAGCCCTCCTGGGCCTGTCCTTGCAATGAAAGGGCAAAGCAAGAAGTTTTCCACCCTGAAATACAGCTGTGTGTTAAGTGGGGTCTGTTTTACCCCCAGCCCAATCTGCTCCTAGGTAGAGAACAGAAGAAGGACTTGAATTCAGCCCCTGGTATCCTGAACACCTCTGTAGTTACCTTTTGTGGAAATATCATTAATCCTGTTGGACTTTGTAACGTCCAGGGATAGAGACTCTGCCACAAGCTGTGCTTCAGTTAAATATACAATTGGAAAAGGATATGTTTAAACCAGGTTGTTAAACTATAAGGTTTAAAGAAGAGTGTTTGTCCTTAATAACAGGTATGCAGAGCAGAACAGAACATTTCATTTTTTGCAGAAATGCAAGGTCTTACCGAGTAGCTGGAATATCTAAGATAAAAACTTTTTTTTCCCCCCCAGTTTCCCCAGAGGAAATCTACACTGGGTCGAGTGGTTCACATCTGCAACCTCCCCGAGGGAAGCTGCACAGAGAACGATGTCATTAATCTGGGACTTCCATTTGGGAAAGTCACCAACTATATCCTCATGAAATCTACTAACCAGGTATGGCACGTTGGGGGCCGCTGATGCTGACATATAAACTGTGGGGAAGATCTCTTTGTAGCAGAAACCTAAGTATATGAAGCCTGCTCTTAAAGTAAAAAATAAGCTGTTCACGGAAAGAGATGGTGGCATAAGCATGCCCCCTGTCCTGCTAGGCATGGCTAAAAACCAAAAATCTCTGAATTAAGAAGAGAAATGTTGTAAAAATATACTTCCCCCCCCCCACCTTTAATTTCAAAAACATGAATAACTTTGCATTCTTCTCCCAGCCATTTGCTAGGGTTATTTTCAGACTTCTGTTGTTCTATTTTGGAGTATTTCTTGCTTTCTCCCGTATCATTGTAGAGCTGCAGTAGGCATGGAAGAATCACTGACACCCTATTCTGATTTAGCTGTCCTACACTTGCTAGACTGTTGTTACAGCAAAGGCAGGTGGGGCCGTGGGGTAAGCACAGGCGAGCAGCAGAGCCTCCAAGGCACGGCTGCTCTGTGTGATCTGGAGCACGTGTGCTAGAGGAGGGCTACTGCTAGCTCTCCTGTTTAAACTGCACCAGGCTGTAGCAGAGCTCTTTCTTCAAGACGATTTTAGACCCCAGGAGGTTAATTCTGGAGGTGGCAGTTGGAAAATCTTCTCTCACATGCTCGCAGCAGGCAAAATGGGTGGATGTGGAATTCACTCCAGTGGGAAATGTATGAGATCCCAGCGTGTTTCCAAATGCAGCCAATACACAGCTGTGAGTTTTCATTGGTCAGTTAAACCAAAGTCACATCAAATGCAATTTTCCTGTAAATAAAAGTGCTAGTTAACAGCATTCAGATTTTTTATTCTTTTTGGCTTTTGTTGCTCTGGCGCCTCTCGTTCTGGTATTCGGCTTTTCATTGGATGCTTGGTGGTTCTGCGAAGTGCAGCCAGCAGCCTCAGGAGCAGTACAAGCTGCAGCGTGGCAGCTCTGCCTCCTGGCAGCAGCTTACCACGAGCACAAGGACCAGTGGAAAAGTGGGGAAAAGGTGATGTTTCCATCTATCAAGAAAGATTACATTCCAGTCATTTAGATTTTAACTCAACTGGCTTCTTCAATTTGTGCTTTTAAGTTGCATATCAGCTTTCATAGCTGGGCTGAAACCATTATTTTTAGTTAAAAGGAGGGTGAGCAAAGGAGCCTCTGCTAGTTACAATTTTAATTCCAGGGCTGAAAAGCTACCCAGTTCTGTACTATCAGCAAATTTTACGTAAGAAGAATCCACACGAAAATTATTGTGCTGCCTTTTCTCTCTTATACTGTATATTTTTAATATGTAGTAGGTTTTAAAGCTCTCCCCGTTTGTGCTAGGCCTTTCTGGAAATGGCTTACAGTGAAGCAGCACAAGCCATGGTGCAGTACTACAAAGAAAAACCTGCTATGATAAATGATGACAAGTTACTTATCAGGATGTCTAAAAGATACAAGGAATTGCAGCTGAAGGTAAGATCAGAGTTACCATGGCATGTCCATAAGACCACGTCTAAAAATGTTTACTGAACACTGATTTCTAATTAATGCTTTAATATTTTGGAAGAAGAAATGAAGAAAGATAAATTAGTCAATGTATGTTAATGATCTTATATACTTAGCTGCTTGCTGTTGTTCTAAATTTTAACCATTTGAAGAGATCCCGTTTTCTGTGGTTCTCATGCCGTTATTTCAAAATTCCCTTCCAAGCCTCCTTCTGAGCAGGCTCCCCACATTGCTTGTCTAGCAAAGGTCTAAAACACAGCCAAGTGCAAAGTACTATAGGTCAGCAAAAGTAAGAGGGTCCATCCTTCTAGACAGGCATCAAGCCTGATGCAGTGCTTTTCACTACTTGCCTGCATGAGCCGTTAATACCATCTCCCCGCCTGGCAGAGGTGGTAGGGCTAAGCATCACACTAATTATTTGTTTTTTGTTTTTCTTGTGAATGAGTAAGAAGTAACTGAACTACCTCAAAAGTAAGACGTTTTACAGAGAATCAGAACAGAGCAATATTTGGTCTTTGGATTTTCTGTAAGAGAGTGTGCCACTTCTGATGTGAACACCTGAGTGATCTCCAAAAATCAGTGCTCTTGAAAGCATATTTATGGGAGCTTATGTACTGTCGTATATAATGCTATGGGCATAATGTTTCTCATGAAGACCTGGACTAGAACCAGTGATGCAGAGCTGAAAGGCTTTGTATTACCTTACCCAACGCAGCATAAGGTTATTTTATAAAATAACCCTGTAGTGCTCCAAGTTAAGACGTTAAGAGCTCTTTCATGAGCCTTGAGGAAAAATAAGTAACTCAGATGATCTGCTTTCACCTTTGGAAAAATCTGTCTCTCCTGTATGCACGTAAGAGTTTAAGGAGACTTAAGGGAGTTGCCCAAAGTCCGTAAACTGGGGCAATCTTTCTTACTGTGGTATTGTGAGGCATTCAGATGTAAGGTGGTGGAGATTACATCTTAGCATAGAGGCTGAACAGGAATTGCCCAGCCGAGCGCTAGACTTCAAGAAGACTTTCAGCAGTTCCAATGGCAGTTTTTCAGGTCATGGAATTATTTTTCTCTGCATTAACAAAAGCTGGTTTTCTTTTTTTTCCCCCCCCTTTTTTTTTTTGTTTAAAGGACAACGGCATGAAAAAGGGAGCATGCATGAGCTGTTTACTGCTACAGACTGCTCTGAGTTCTTGCATGATTATGTTGCTCAGCTGCATTTGCTCCAAGTGCTTGTTGAATTGCATGCACTCCAGCCTGGAGTAGTGCATCTTTTGTAAATGATCTTCAGTCTCAAGTAATCAACATTTCCTCTGTACATCTTTCTTGCACCTAGGTTTTCTGAAGCTTCTGTGTCTACACATACTCTTTTAGTGCCATGCTCCAGAATGAGCTAAACTCTGAAATGAGATGAAGGCAGTTCATTCCTAGGGGCAGAGAGAGGCTATAGATCTGTTTAATTCAGGTATTAGAATAATGGTCTGGTTCGTTTCCTCTGACATCCAATTCCTAGAAAATATACTGTGGTGAATGCCTAACAGAGAATTACAAGCTAGTTTTCACAGCCTATTATAGAAGCCTTTCTTCTATTATAGAAGTATGTGGAGACGGTGCTGCACTGTAACAGAGGAAATTTTCCATCTGAACCATTTTACTGCTTTGATTATTTTATTGAGACACCAGTGGTAGAAAAGACTGTAACGAGAACACCGAATCCAAATATTTCTCATTAATAGTGTAATGAAATGATGCATGGATGCTGTTTCTTACAGGATGCATCACCTAAAACAGCTTGGAGAGTGCAGCATGCTAAACAGTGTCTTTGTCTTGCTTAGAAACCAGGTAAGAACGTGGCTGCTATCATCCAGGACATCCATTCGCAGAGGGAGAGGGACCTGCTCCGGGAAGCAGACAGGTAACTCGCTGCAATGGCAGCTCTGCCTGCTGGTTTCCCTGGCTTGATCTGGGGAATTCACTGCTCTCTGGACGTGGGGCCGCAAGTCTGGGTGACATAGAAAGTTTCTGCATAATTTAGGATTGGGACTTGGATAAGTCTGTAAGCCTGCAAGTAGAATTAGCACCGTCTGTGTGCTTCCCTCACCATCTCATTTTCTTTCTTATTCTGGGTTTCATTTCAAATCACTGAAAAGATACAAGTGGGTACAATAGGAGGTGCAGGACCTAGGTATTAAGATCAGATTGAAATTGTGCGCTGGGCATGTTATGAAAACAAATATTTTACTCACTGCTCTTTACCAGCTATTGCTACTGATGATGATTATTATTATTCAGAAAATATACTTGACATTTGAAGAATGCACAAATCAAGCTATTCCCCTCTCTTCTCCCTTGAGTGAGAAGCATACAGGTTGGGGGTGCTGAAAGACCTAGAGGGAAGGAACCAGTTCAGATTAAAATGTATTTGGGTATATTTCTGATCAGATTGGCTTCCATTAGTATTTTCTGGACCTTCCAGCAGAAACAGGGAGGAATCACAATCTTAAAATGTCTCTTTTTAAACAGGTGACCTGTGTCACTGTTGCCTCAGAGATGCTCTAGATGATTGAGCAGGCTGTCATTGTAAGGCTATTCACATGTTATAAGCCTTTAATGCTAAATCCCTACGAGAGGTTTTTAAGAATGACAGAATATATTCTTGAGAGATCTGTGGGGGTTTGGTTAAGTTCTGTGGACACGAGTGCAGTGCTGCCTTTTCTCCTGCTCACTGTGCCTGCAGCTGTGCAGTGCAGGTATGTGAAAGGCCTGGGGTGTTAAAGGGGTTTTCCCCTGACGATCTCAGGTCCACACGTATCAATGTAGTTCCCAGTGTGTTCCCAGTGTACAAGCGCTCAGTGTGGATCACAGCAGGTCAAACAGAGTCACAGCTACTTTTTCCCTCTACAACAGGTATGGCACAGAGAGGCCCCGCTCTCGCAGCCCCATAAGCCGCTCCCTGTCGCCCAGATCCCACACTCCCAGCTTCACCTCCTGCAGTTCACCCCACAGCCCACTGGGAACCAGCAGGACAGACTGGGGAAACGGCAGAGAGTCGTGGGATCAGTCCCCATATTCGAGAAGGGAAGAGGAAAGAGACAGCAGAGAATGGCGAGAGAATGGGGACGAGAAGAGGGACAGGACCGACACGTGGGTACATGAGAGGAAACATTATTCCCGACAGCTGGACAAGTTTGATTTGGATGAACGGATTGAAGGAGGCAGAGGGTACAGAGAAAAATACTTAAGGAGTGGTTCCCCTGGCTCCCTTCACCCTTTATCTGGCTACAAGAGCAGGGAAGATGACTATTACAGAAAAACGTCTAAGTCAAAATCTGACAAGTTTCAAAGGCAGCTGCAGGAGTTATCTGGGAGATCTAAGAGAAAGGAAGAGGCAAAGTTAAGGGAGCGGAGACATTCTTACAGTGAGGACGCTGCGAGGGAGGAGGCGGCTGAACAGAAGCACAGCAAAGCATCTGAGGGATCCAGACAAAAACTAAGTGATAAGAATAAAGTTAAGAAAGCTGACAGAGACCAAGAGGACGATGCTGCTGCGGAGGGCAATGATGTGAAGGAAAGCAAACCTTCTGAGAATGAGGTAAATAGAGATCCCAAACTGTACGTGCAAAGAAGGTAAAAGCTGAAATAGTGTATTTTCTGAAGTATTTTAAACCAGTTGTTATTGGTGTGGTACTGGGGACATGCAATGTTTTACCATTATGTAATCAGGGAATATATTCCTCAAAGAGATCTTGGGAGGCCATCTCATCCACCTCTCTGCACCGATCTGTGCAGATCCCTTACACCATTCCTGTGTTGGGGACCTGGATGTAATCTTTCCATTTCATGCACACAGCATCTAGGTAACTAGTGAGGAAATGGGAACAGACAACTGAAAACAAAACCAAATGAAAATCTACTGCTTGCATGCAGCTTGTATACGTAGGGACAAGTTGGCCTACAGCTCTCTCTTCCAAGCCTGTGTGTTCCCCCCTGCCCCCAGCTGCTCTCTCTGCATCTTGTGGAACAAGTTATCTGGGAATTTAGTGGTACTTTACAGAGATAGGCAATATTTGTAGGAAAATACAGGGAATTGGTTGTTATAATGCCAAAATGGGGGATTAACTTTTAAATCCAACGTGACACATTTTATTTTGGTCAGCTCAGCAGAGCTGCTGGTATCTAGTAATTGTATGTTCCTACCCTCAGTAGCACACTGAAGGGAAGTGTTGGAAGACACCCCTTGGCAGAAGCAACGAATCGGCTTACCCTTAAAATTATGGGATCTCTGGGATAAAACTCCCAGTTGGTGAAGTAACGGTGTCTGTCACCTCCCTGATTCTCCTCTGGGAAGGAGTGGAGAGGGAACGATTCAGAGATGCCTCATTCACTCAGTCCCAGCACAGCCCCATGCTCATGTCCCCACTCTACGGGGATCTTATTACTGGCTTATGGCCACCTTGCCTCCCCCAGGCCCTCCTGGGGATACGCTCCCTCCATCCACCCACAGGGACGCTGGCACAGCAGGCTGCAGAGCTGCTATGCTGACTAGGGTCCATCTGTCGCTTGTGACTTTGTGTTGCCAGGGCTGTCTTCAGTTGTCTTTAATTGACCTTGCGTTCTTTCTTCTCGTGCAGGAGAAGGCTTAGTAGAAATCTCTAGATCGTGTAACTCAGCTAGTTTCTGTAACAGGCAGCGACACTATCTCATGCCATAGATACGTGTGTCTGACCACTTTTTGTCATCGTTCTCTTTTGGTTGGTATTTCACTGTGATGGATGGCTCCTTGGGAGGATATTTCTCTCTTCTGTATAGAAATGTCAGACTAAGCTTCCCGAATCACCAGTGTTGCACACTCCTCTGCATATTTTGCAAGTCACTTTGAATCGTCATTGTTAAAGGCACACCTCTCTGGGAACTACTGCTAACAATTCAATAGGGACTAATAGAGCTGACTGCTCCTGCATTCACACTTTTGCTCCATCCCTCTTTTACCAAGTGCTAGATAATACTGTGATTTTGTTCTTCCAAAGTATGAACCGTGCAAGTAGTTGCATTCTCGACCGATCCAACATTTTAATAAATAAAAACAGTTGAGGTCTTTTGCGGAGTTTTAACAGTGCTGCTCTCCTTACCATGTCTGAGCCAACATAACAGATGTGGGTAGAGAACAGAAGAGAGGAGGCTGGAAATTTTAATGAATTCACATTCTCCCCCACCTATCTTCCAGCCAATTCTATGATATAAATTACATCTCTCTAATTTTGTTTCAATTTCTTTTTCTTAATTCTTATTTGTGCAGCTTTGCTAATGGAATCCACTTCTTGGGTGTTTTCCCACAGTCCAGTTGACTTGCATAAACTTTAGAAATCAAGAATGTGACCTTGTGACTGACTTTGCTTCTGTAGACCCAAAATAGAAACATAATAGAACACCACTGTGTGTTGCTATACATGTATATGTTGTATTTATTTTAGCTTGGAAAAAAGGAGCAAGTTCCAGAGAAGAGCTCACCTTCAGCTGATAAACAAGGACAAGAATCTGGAGAGATTCTGGAAAACACGAGAAAAGAGAAGGTTAGTTACACACTGTTGGTTTACTTCCATGATAAAAAGAGTGAAAATCCAGATTTGGTAGCACATTTTCCTAACTGAAATATTAAAACTCCCCCCCCCCCCAAAAAAAAATTAACCCCCCCCCCCCCCACAATGAAAGTCAGGTAGATAGTTTACAGAAGGGGGTTGTCGAAATTAACTCGCCTTATCTTGACCTCTGCTTTAAGGAGTAGCTTTTTCTGAACTCCCCAGAGCTCTTTTTTTAGTTGCTCTTTGCCCATGTACATTGCTTCACATGCATAACCCTTGGCACTGGCAACTGTAAGTAACGTATGCCCAAATGAACTGTGCAACTTTGCAAACTGTGCCTAAAAATAGGAGACATGGTCACTTAGTAGAGGAAGAGGGGACCAACGATGAAAACTTTTCAGACTATTGACCCTAAATGGACTATAGATAGTGGCCTCTCTTGATTGTTTCTGTTTTCAATTAGATAATGTCTTTGTAGCACCCTTGCTGCAGCATCACAGTAGGGCACAGCAATGTCCTTGGAATTCCTCCAGCTTCATATCTCTAGGGTCATGGGTTGATGGTCAGATATGGAAGCTATTGATATCTGTTGCTGTAGAAAACTGATCTCCTGGCAAGAACGGTGTCGACTCTCTGAGTTTTCGTGCTGTTTTAGGATTCTAGGAGGGGAAGTGTGGGAATGGCCACACAGAAGGAGAATACAGATTATTAATAGATTATGTGCACACGATGATTCTGGGAGTTGAAATCTAAGCTGCACCAAGTGTGTACTGAAAGTAATATATACCTTATAATTCTAATTCTTCTGGAATCTGGTATTAGTGTCTGAGAATCCTAAGTCTATAACTGCATGTATGAGGTATTTCATATTATAAACCTTTCAGTATAACTGTAAAACTGATTTTTCTCAAGGCCTAGGCCAACCTCTGCCAACACAGTCCCTGGCAGAGGGCTCTTGCTGGTGGAAGGAAATGACTAGTGACGGTTTCTCAGGGTTTTCTCAGTCACTGTAGGAACTTAAAGGACCTCATCCAGCAAAGTAAAAGCTACAATGGCTAGACTGGGATTCAGTGTATTCTCATTGTGGTACCTATTTCTGGTCACCCTGGGATGGAGGTAGAGGAAGGGGAGAGGATAATTTCCTTGGGGTCACGCAGTGGAGTGTGACTAGTGTGACAGGTTGTGCCTTGTTCTACTGTTTACAGGAAAGCAGGAAGTGGGAGACTGGAGAGATGTTATTCCCCCAGGCAGTTACAGGCTCTCCCTGAAGGGAAGCTTATATGGTTGGTTTAAGAAGATTGCTTGTTCTTGTGTGTAAGGTTTAAAAATCATAGCACCAAGGCATGTTGTTCTTTGCAACTAGAATAGAGGAGAGGTTAGGCATGACCAGTTCAAAAGTTTCCCTGGTTACTGATGTTCAAAGCCCATTTTTAACTTTGATGATCTATAATCACTGATTTCTCAAATTTTGTACATCTTTGTGACAGGAAAGAGACTGGGAGAGTGGAAGTGAGATCGAAGGTGAGACCTGGTATCCTGCTAACATGGAGGAATTAGTGACAGTAGATGAAGTGGGAGAAGATGATCTAATTATGGAGCCTGATATAACTGAGCTTGAAGAAATAGTGCCCGTTGATCAAAAAAATAAAACCGTCTCAGAAATGTGTCCCTGTATGTCAAATGTGTTAGAACTGAAAAATGATCATAGCCACTTAACCAGGAGTGAAGATAAATTTGCCCATAAAGCTTTAGAAACAAACTTCAGATCAGCAAAGGGCAGTGTAGCTTCTTCTGGTGGCTGTCAGGATGATGAGGATGATGATAATGATGATGCGGTTACTGAAGCATCAAGCCTAAATCTGGACCCTGAGCAGAAGCCAGAGGAATCACAAGAAGACCAACCTGTTAAGGAGTCTGATCACCAGCCGAAGGAAGGAAAAATTGATAAAAGCTCTGACATTCATTTAGAGCCTGAAGATCGCCACATACCTTCTGTTCAGCTGAAAGAAGAGACTCTCCAGCTCCCTGATACATTTATAGATGATTACAAACAGATGGGATCACAAGGAGCTGAGAGTAGAGAAGTCATGGAAATGCTTGTTAAAAACTCTGATGAAGAAACGAGACATGGAAGCCAAGAGTGTTCAGAGGCCAAGGGTAACTACCGTTTTTTTTTCTTTTCAGCCTGCAGAGAGCCTTGCATGTTTCCTCTGACAGTAGATTGAAATTTATTGCTAACTAGAATAAATGTTGCTAATAGAATAAAGACTTGTCCTTGGAGCAGCTCAGTTATAGAACCCCGCTGCCTTTCGCCAAGTGAAATCATTAGAGGCTTTTAGCTGAATAGTGTAAAGTAAATATGATAAGCAGCTTGCAAGCTTTCTACAAGGCATAAGATGCTATAATTGTCATGTCAAGGTTCACATGAGTTTAGCTGAAGTCTTTCAGTGCCCTGCTAAATTTATTTTGAATTGTCAATGAAATGAGTGACAGTCTCTGAAGGTCAGCAGAGAGGTATCTCTAATGTCTGGCTGGCTCTTAGTCAAGGTGGGTATTCTCACGCACTGTACAGAAGTGCTAGTAGCATGGAAATCATTTGTAGATTGTTACTTCTCGGTCCTTCTTCACACAAATACAAGCCTTTTGTCAGGACTTGCCCTATCGTCTTCTGTTATCTACCACATGTTGCCTTTAGTATAACTGATATGACATGCTGTGAGATAGTGCCAATAAATATAATCATAGCTGCCTATTAGTATTTTTGCTGTCAGAAAAAAAGTCTTGAGTGTCTAGAACTCACTTTAGTTTCCTGTCACTCCTTCAAATGAAACGCAAGTGAATGGACTGGGTATAATGAAAGGAAGTGGAAAACAGCATATACCATGTTGGCCAGGAATGCTCTTTTTTGGTTGTCACTGTAGCCTGTGTGATGGAGAAGAATTTGTGAACAGAAGTTGCTCAAAATTTCCTGAGAATGCCATTTTCCACCAGAAAATGCAGAAACATTTAATGTAAATGTCTCATGTTGAACAAACTACCAGAACAGGTTTGAAACTACCTTGGTTTTCAAAACTCACCTGTCTGGCCCGAAGACAGCTTGCCAAGCTTTGCACCTCTGGAGATAATGCTGCTATCCATGTGTATTCCCTGGGACTGGGCACCACGAAGTTTCCAGGCTTTCAGGCCAGCTGGCTCTCCTGGGCTGCCCACTGCATGGGCAGCCAGCTGACGTGAGAGTTGGGTATCCCAGAAGCACAATAACTTGGGTGTTGTCAGCATCTAAGCTTCCAACTTCCTGACAGGGAACCTGGAAACTCCAGGGGAGCTTGCGCTTCCCGGGCTTCTGTCCGGACTTGACGTCTGGGATCCTCAGTGCAAGGCAGGGTCTGTGGGCTCGAGGCTCTCTGCTAATGCAGCTGCCAGTGCAGGAGCCCTAGAAATCAGCTTTGGCAGGACTTAAGTTGTAACAAAGGCCCTGGGTGTCCTGACACTCCCGGCTTTTCCAGGATTTGTTCTGCAGAGTTGGAAACCTGCGATGTGCTTAAAGTTAACTTGAAAGCCCACCAGCCAGGATTTTGTATTATTTTCTTTTAAATCATGTACTAGGCATATTTAAAACAATGAAGAGAGATTCATTCTCATAGCCAGAAATTGCAGATCTTTGAACGACAAGCTTGAAAGGCAGGAAGGGTTTGGTTTGGGCAAAAATGTGTTTGTTTTATGAGAAAATGTATCCCTCATCTATGTGAAATTTGCAATGGAAGAGGAATTTTGTCAGGGTAAGGAAACCAGTTCTTTGATGTAAGAACTGGAGAATGAGAATCAGACCAGTTTGTTTGTAATTCTGTTGCTCTGTGATAGCGACTTTTAAAAAAAAAAAAAAAAAAAAGCAATTCACATATTGGGAAGGGAGAATGTCCATCATTCTGACTGGCTTTATCCTCCTCAGCAAATCAGTTCACTGTTTTCCATATCTTGAATCTCCTACCTGTCTGTTATCAGATCAGCAGTGACCAAAAATCCCATCTCTACTGGGCACCTACCGAACTCTTTGAGTGGCCAAGAGCCATAAAGCAGAAACCATCCCTTAGGGAGCTGAGGATGGGAGAAGAATGCTCCAGGGAAGAGATGGCAGTGGTCCCTCAAGGATCCTGCTAGAGGAAGGTTTGCTCTGTGTATGCAGCTAGCTCCTGAGGCATTTTGGTGATTTGCCCTCAGCAGGTCCTGCTCCTGGCTTTCTCAGCAGCTCTGTATTAGGGCTGCGCCGTCTCTTGTCGTACAGCACAGCCCTGCCACAGAGCTCCTTTTGAGCCATGTGTGGCCGGCGGGGCTGCGGTCTGACCGTGCTTGTGCCAGAGGCACAGATTCATTGAGAATTTAAAATGTGAAAAGAAAAAACCATATCGAGCATGCAATTAGAAATAGAAAAATGACCTACTGGGAGAAATAGGGGTGTGTGTATTAGTGTATTACAGCTGCTGTGAGTTGCGCTGAGTGGGCATCCTGTTTGAACAGAAAAGCATTTTTAGAGATTTTACTTAATTTTTGGCTCCACCCATAAAGTATTTCCAATAAGTTGACAAATGTCTCCTTAAAGTAATAAACTGTTTTCACTCAATACATGTATTCATTTGTTAAGCAAATTCTAGGTACCTGGAAATGAGATCTCTTGAATACCCGGAGGTAGACTCTAAGCGAATCCATTCTCCGCCAGGCTGGGAACAAGAGGACGTGTTCACAGAGCTCAGCATTCCCCTAGGTACGGTACAGCCCGGCCCGCAGGTCTCTGCTGGCAGGAGATGCCGCCCACTGCAATACCTAGAAATTACAACAAGATGTCACTTTAAGGCTACTTGCTATGTTTATTTCTCAGCTCAGTTGCGAGGAGAATGAAGGGACAGAGCGTATAAAAGAGAGGTAGCTGTTGAAAGAACTGGCCTTTTGATTCTTGATCATTATTAATTTCATTCCAGATAAATGGCTTCAGGTAGCCTTAATATCAGTGATGAGATGAAATAAGCTCCCTTGGACTGAACTTCTTTGTCTCTAACCTGAGCCTGATGCAGGGAATATCTGCAGTAACGAAGAAGCAGGATAAATCAGCCTGTTGGAGCCCTGGGTACCCCCGGTTGCTTTGGCTGCTGTTAACACTTTTGAGACTGCAGGGCAGGCATGCGCACATCCATACAGTGACACTTTGGTAGAAACTTTGGTCAATGTCAAGGGATGTTGAGGGTAGAAGGATCATCCACTAAATTCTCTGCAAATTAAAGAGTTTAAGTCCAAGATACACAGTATGAACAATACTTAGTAATTTAAAAGTCTTTGTCATAAAAGTTTTGGCTATACTTTTAGTATAACCAAAAGTATTGGTTATACTGTGTGAACACTGATCATGAGTAAAACACCTGGGAGAACTACATCTTTAAGGATAATTTGCCCAACTTAAGCATGGGTTTGCTACTAATAAGTACTGTAGCTATTCCAGCTCTTGAAGTTACACAGTGAAGTCTTCAGTCAATATTATGTGAGAGGAGGTACATTTTTAAATATGTATGTCTAAGAGAGAAGATGTGCAAGGTGTATTTGCAGTGCACAGGATTTTAAACTGTGGGTGAGTTTTGCAAAATTAGGTAAATCAAAGAAGAGAATACAGTATTGACAGTCTTCAAATCTATGTCACTTAGCTAAACAGAATCTTCTTTCTTTAAAAGCAAGAGTATTGTTGGGGGGAAGGATTTCAACTGACATCCTAATGTAATTCAAAATCTCTCTGTAGGTGTGGAATTTGTGGTGCCTAGAACTGGGTTTTACTGTAAGCTCTGTGGACTCTTCTACACAAGTGAAGAGACAGCGAAGACAAGTCACTGCAGAAGTACTGTTCACTACAAAAATCTTCAGGTAAAACAGTCTTGAAACTAGCTAACAGCTAGCTGTGAGGGTAGATTGCGTTCAAGTTCCATGGTGCTGTAAAAAATTACTTTTTATGGTGTGGACAGAATTCAAAAGAAGTTGAAGTATACATAAGCAAAATATTTCAGTAGTTGTGACTATTGGCACACTAATCTCTCACTCCTGGGTCCTTGAAATCAACTTATGGATCATAAATAAAATGGGTCCAGCAGATCATTTTATTATTTCATCTGTATTTAGTCCTTGTCACTAGCACAGCACGCAACTCGGACCATTTAATTGTCTGTTCTTGGGGGTTCCAGACGTTGGTGTCACTGGGAGTGAGCCCAGTAGCCTTTTTTATTTCTTAATTTCATTAGCATTAAACGTGCCACTTCTTTAATAATGATGCTAGTTTTCTTTTTGCATTACACAGTATTATGTGACGCACGGGCTATCCAGGGTGTTTCCTGTGACCCCCTGTAATTGCCACTCTCTGCTACAGCTGTTCAACAGCGCAGAGCACTGCTACTGAATAATTGCTATGATGATATGCAGAAGAGTGTAATTTCTTGTGTAATTACTTGTATGGTTTCAATAAACCTATACCACCATATTTGATAACAGTACACAGAGACCATGACCACTTACAGTTGAATCAAAAAAACCTGCTCTGATCACTTTTCAGATGCGCAGTTGATAGTATCAGTCATTGCTGTTCGTGACAGCATGAGCATTAACTGCCCGGTGCCAAGGACTCCTCAGAGGAGGCAGCCTTGCCCCTCATCTCCTCGAGTCCCTGCCTGGTGCAGGGGTGTGGACACTGCAGAAGACACATTTGCTAGCAATGCCTTGGGCATTTGCATGCCTTCAGCAAAAGGCGTAAAAGAACAAGGCTACCCCTTCTTCCTCAGCTCCCTCCCCCTGCCCATCGTAAACGTTGGAGTTCTGCTTCTAGAAAGTCAAGTCATTTCTCTGGTGGAATTTTCTTCTTGATTTTCCTGAAGTTACTTAGCTCTAATCATACAAAGGCCTCTGGCTTTTAACAGCAGCTCTGCTGTTTGCTAGTAAAGGATCTTCCAAGTGTAAGCCTGAAGAACAGGTGCCCAGTTTGCATGTCCTTTTTGTGTTTCAGACAAGAAAATCCAGAGGGATTCACCAAAGATAGCACCACTTAGTGCAGGCCACGTGTCCCATGTGAGTCTGTCCCAAAGGCACTCATAGTGCTTAGGGAAAGGTTGCCTGTCTAGCCCCTGCCCTGGCAATTTAGAAGAGTAGGGTAGAAGAGGCATTTTTTTCATTTTCTAAGTTATTTTGACAAAGTCATGGCAAAAATGTCCAATTAAAACCAAGGCAGCATGAAATTTTTTTTCTCCCGTTTAAGACACTTCCCATGAGCACTGTGGTAGATTTCTAAAACTGACTTGAGATAAAAGCACAAAGACCACAAGACTGGTTAAAATTAAATCTGTCAAATATGGTAATGAAAGCACTCTGTTCTGCAGAGCCGTAGCTCTTATCTTACTAAATTGAGGAAGTTAAATGTCTGATAAATAATCATCCAACTTTTGTCCATTCAAGTGGAAGCTCAGCAAATTTTAAATAATTTTTCTCATTACTAGGACCCTTTTCGTTGTAGTAATGCTCACTTATGCACTCCACAAGATACTTCAGTCATCTCCTATGATGAAGCAATTTAATGAGCGTACCCACCAATTTAAGAACTATGTAATCTAACTTTTACCATATCTTAACCTATGGGACTACTGTTGCAGCCTATGTCTTCCTGTTGTCATGTCTACATGACAAATACCATTGTCCAATGACAATAACACTGTCCCAGGTGCTCTCATGGCTGTGAGTCTTTGTGTTTGATTTGCTACGTGTTGTCTTTCACGTGATCTCCTTGGAGCCACATCAAAAATATCTGTCCAGTGTTTGGAATTTTACACAAACCGAACAGTTTATTTACCATATTTCTTCCAAAAGCCTCATTTCCACAAAGATGAGGATTTTGTCTTGAAGCAGAACAATCAACTTCATCTGTGTATGGTGCCTCTTGAAGAATAACAATCACTGGAAAAAACTTCAACTGTTTCTTCACCAGCCTGGTAGACTTTTTGCAATTTTCCATTCTCTTCAGCATAACAAATGATTTCCCAGGTGGTATTTATATTTACAGATCCAGTGCATATTCAGTGTCCAAAATATCCATCATTTGGCCATCCCTCCCACCACTAGTACAACAAGCTGTCAGATTCATCTACTGTAAGCTACTCTTGGGCAAATCAGTGCGTCACTTCAACTTGTTTTTCACTGGTTTTATGCAGTATTCATCCAAAACTTGTATTTAAAAGAAAAATATTTCTTCCTGTACTGTCACTTGGTTATAAATCATCTGAATTTCCAGTCTGTGAACTTCAAAACTGGTGACTGAGTTACTCATGATAGCTGACACTAAGGTCCACCAAAGGTGGTGGCTGAACCCTTTATCATCTTTGAAAACCTCAGTCTTACTTTGGTGGCTAATCATTAAAAAACGAAAAAAAAAAGGTTATCTGATCCAATGACAGGTGTTAGTGATTGATTTATTACAGTTCATGGAGTGCGGAACTCTCTTCCCAGCCTTTACGGTTTTTATATCTCTGTATGCTACTGTAACATTTATTCTGGCCTTCAGCCACGTGGAATTTTGTACTCTGGGATCAAGATTAAGAGTTGTGTAATTGCCGTAGCCAAGTCTCTCTGTTCAGAGCAACAGGGGTGCAGTCATCATTTTGTCACAGGTATGCCCACTCTGTACCTTTACTGAGTCCCTTTCAGATGTACCTCTTACCTCCAAAACTCATATTTACCTGAGACAACCTGGCAGTTCTAGTACACCAAGAACAGCCCTTGTTTCTTTACACCTGTTTTTCATTCCATCATTCCATCTCTACCCCATGGATGCCAAAGGTGAACTCCACTCTGGGGGAGTCCTGCAACTAGACAGTATTTTACAGTGACATGAGATGGCCTTTTCGAAACAAACCAGAATGCTTAAACAGCTGGAAAAGAGAGTTTTAGGACCCTGAAAACACTTAGGTTAGTTATTCTTGCATGTGGGGTGTGTGTAACAGTAAGTCATTAATAAGGCCATCTCTGTATCATTATCTGGGTATTTCCCATGAATATCTGTAGACTAGGGTGCTGATAAAGAAGTTTCTTTCCATTCTGTTCGTATGTCAGTTGACCTTTAATAAACACTTTGTGCACCATTTTCAGACACACATCCATTCACCTTCCATTTTGTGTGCACCTCTGCCGACTAAGAATACTGCCAGGAGGTTCACGGCCTCACTGGCCACTTCTGTATTTTCAAATCACCATGGGTAGTTAGAGCTCTGAAATGTTTTATCTTAAAGCAACACAATATATGTAAATACTCAAGCCAGACTGCAAAATTGTGTTAGTTATTACTGAGTTTGAGTCTTCCCTTAAAATAAATGCTCGCATGCACATAGTGTATGTCTGAAAATGTACTGCATGTGCTTTAAATTATGACTCAGAAACTCCATCTACTCTGCCACACCAGTTTTATCCTAGCATAATTCAGTTAACTTAATGGTGTTAGTCCTTGCTCTATAGTGTATGGGAGTAGTAAGTAGTCAGTTCATGTTTGCCAGGAGAAAAGGTGAGGTCTAGCTACACAGACTGATGAGGAGTCATGGTCCTCCTTGTTATGTTACCAATTCCCCTTATGGCACAGAGTTAATCACTGAACCTCTTAGGCTCTCTCTGTATTAAGGTAGTTTGCCTGACACAGCTATATTACCTGGCTTGAATTTTCACCAAAATGGGGCTTCTGTGTGGGATTTTTCCCCTGTGAGGTGCTGGGAGAGTGTAATGGCTCTGAAGAGGTGTAAGCATCCTGTGTTGAGTTTCTTCAGCTTTTGTAAAGATGCTTGTTTTTGATGTGATTGCAGAAGTATCTATCCCAACTTGCAGAAGAGAGCCTGAAAATGACTGAAGAAGGCAGCAGTCTGCGCCAGGATGATGCTGGAATTGTTCCTCACTTTGAGAAGAAAAAACTATGATGTGGATGAACTGGAAGAGCTATAATGAGTGAATGCTGATACTTCTTTTTTTATTTCTATAACTGTCAATTTGCACTGTACAGAGGAGGGGAAATAAAGAGCATGTTCCATGCATCTATGCCCAGAGTGCCATTAAAAACCAAAATGCCTGAAAGTTTCCCATGGTGAAGCAATGCTGGCATATCTGTAACAAGCGGAGCAATTCTTTCTCACACTGTGAGCTGGGAGTGGTTTCCTAGATTAAATCAGAATTCTCAGGGATTCTTAAAGTTTTAATTCTGATGTGACACGTCAGATCAGGCAGAGTATTTAGAAGGACTCAGCATCCTCCAGTGGACGCTGGAAGGAAAGGAAATGTGACTATAAATAGTCTTTAATGTTGCTTAAACTATTTTCAGCCGCTTCACTCATTACCCCATTGAGAAGTAGGATTTCCATAGGACATCTAAAAACATTCTGCTCAAGCTAATCAGTAGATGGTAAAATATAAACCCCAGCAGCATCCATCTCCATGTGTCTTAGAGCTTGGTGAAATGATAAATGTGTGTCATGAGGCACTGATTGTACTTTGTGTTGTATGAATGCAGAAGGAGCCACAGTTTCTGTCCCAGCGAGCTGATAGCCTGAACCCAGCAGAGTGAGAACAGTTCACATGCGTGTGCTGACAGCTAACCTGCTCCGGTTCTCAACATTTTCCGTGGTGTGATCAGGATGTTCTGCATTTGTCCTTGGGTTTAGAACTCTTCTTGATCATTCTAGAAGGTGCTAACTTTGAGTCTTACAGACTTGAAACTCCCACAAGAGACTGTTAAAGTGCCACCTGTTTGGACCATATTACTTGTAGACATATTTAGTCAAGATGCTTGCTTTCGGGGTCGTCTTGGGTTGTTGTTTTTTTTTTTTTTCCCAAACCTATTTTTTCTCAACTTGGCAACCTTGAATTTTCCTGGTCTGCGTGGAAAGATGCCAGACTTTTAATATTGTTTTTTGTATTTTATTTCCCTGATTTTTTTTACACAAATACAACAACTGATGGCTGACAGAGTACTGCACTGGGAACACAGGATGCACCAGCAGCTCTGGCATTATTATGAGCTATTGTTTCTGCACAGTTGTTGCTTAGTGTTTTGCAAAGTCCCTTTGAAATACACTGTACAAGTTTCTGGTTCACTTCAATAGGGCTTTGTGTAGTAAAGTGAATACGTATGCAAACCATTGCCAGAATTGATCCTGGAGTTATGGTTTTATAAAATGCACCACGCAATCTAGACAGATGGGGATTTGCAGACGTTTTTCTATTCTTTGCCTGATTCTAATATTCATCACGATATGTTCTGCACAAATTGCTGGTGTTAGTTGTCCTGTTTAGATATTGTGTGGAGGAAATAAGTTTTCCAGAAGGTTCTAGCCATCCCTAAGAATGCCATGGGCGTCGCAAAATATTGCACAGTGACTAATTTGCCAAAATTACTTTCACCAAAGTATTCAGTCCGTTATTACCTGTGCCAGCAGCCATACTCTTTTTCCGAAATGCCTCTTAGCCAGGCAGAGTCTCCCCAAAGCGCTCGGTGTTGTTGTGTTACGCTCTGTTCCACCTCATGGCCTGTGTTTTCCATTCATTTTTACCAGAGGTGGATTCAGATTTCAGAGCTGGAATTCATATTTCTCACAAGTTCAGGGATTCTTTGCGTCCCAAATTCAGATGTGGCCCCTTTGAAAGAACGGGAGAAATGAAAAACATTACAGCATAAATCCTCCTTTGTCCAGACTTGAAATACGTTAAGATTTGGGCCCATCTGTCATTTAAAACAGCTTTTTTTTTTTGTTTTCTCTATGTAAAAAAAATTGCAAAACAAGTTATTTTTTCTTCAAGGGTTGGGTTTTTCTTTGACTGTTTGTTTTTCACATTGCAGTGAAATTTGAGCACAAAGCAAGAGCTTGTATTGCAAGCTATAAGATTACGAAAACGGCAGTAAAGATTGTGCAATTGTCTTTCAAAGCACAGCTCTCAAGATGTCATGTATCATCTGAATATGAAGTTCCCTTCATGCCCTTCAGCACAATCTGAGCATATGGGAAGGAAATCACTCCAAATGCGAGCATCCAGTCTTTGAAGCCTACCCTGCTATCAGACTGGGTCTCTCACTGGCCTAATGGGAGCTTGTTAGATCACATGGTTAAGCTTAATTGGATCTGAAACATGGCTGACTGTATATCAAAGTCATATGCCTCCAGCAACTTTATCCCCAGGTAACCTCAAATGAGAAAAGTATCACTGTTATTATTCTCTATTTGTATTGCAGTAGAAGCTACGGGTCCACTGCCTTTATTATAGGCACAACACAAATCCACAACAAAGACTTTCCCAGGCCAAAGAGTTTCAAATCAGACTTTTAGAAAACAGACAACAGGTGGATACAAGCAGGCAGAGAAAGCAATAGGTAAGCATGAGATTTTAACTGGCAACAGCAGAATTATTAAAAAGGAGTGTTTGCCCAGGGGCTCATTTTTGGATATAAGGGAGATGATTCAAACTACTTCCCTCCTCCTTCGATTCTGACACCAGGTTCACTCCCATCATTCACACAGCTTGCATATTTAACCTCCTTTTTTTCTTGATCAGTTGCATTAGACATGCAAAATCTCTTCCTTATAGTATGGGCCTTGGTAGCCTACAGACCCTGGTTGAGATGCGCTTACCTCAGTTTCAGCCTCCATCCAGGTCTCCAAAAGCTGGAGTCTTGACAAAGGCTCACCAGAAATTGTCCAGGCTCCAGATATCTTGTTTGGGTCGTCGGTCCCTTGCTTGCCACTGAGGAAGCCGGAGGCTCCGGATGGCATCTCTTCTGTATAGAGGATCCTCTTCTGGAAGCAGGTGACTCAAGTGGGTGATGCAGGTGCAGTACTTAGCCCCATAAATGTGATCAAATCCAGACATTTGCAGAGGAGATTTGGATTCCCCATTCCTTTGGGCGTTCTCCTGGCACGACAGCATTCTGCAAAATCTTGGCTATAACCACACAGGCAGCTCTCCTTCTCAGAAGGTCCTTTCTCCCCTTAAAAATCCAGCATTTCAAAGCAGTTAAAAGCAATCCCAAGTCTTGACTAACTCCTAACAATCCCTATGGTCTGTTTTCAGCCTGATGCACTTTTCAGATCTCAGAGAAAAAGCTCCTTCCCCCTGCTCCAACAGGCCATCATGCAATGCTGACAGGCACTCAACTCCTCAGCTTCTCTCTACTACCTGTTCTACTGAGGAAGAACGCCACTGTAGGCAGCCACTTAACTTTCTCAGCTTGTGTAAAAATGCGTTGTTTCTTTCAATTTATTATATTCAGTATCTTTACTTTTTCTAGTTGTCATAATTCATCCTCATTAAAATATATGCTGTTTATTAATACATACATATATATATATATATATAAATAAATAAATATATATATATATATATATAGCACAAAGCAGGCTCAGGTCTAGCCAAAAAATACTGATATTTTTAAAAGAGCTTCTTTAATATATACAAATCATTTCAACCCATCTCAACCAAAGATTGCACTTTTTGAGTAGGGACTATGTTTTTCATCTGTGTAAAATCTGTATTGGTCTCAAATAGTCTTTAATGTCAATTTGCAACTTACTTTCTTTGAAGTAAAAATAAAAAAATAAACAAACATTTGCCCCATAAGATTTCACAAAGTTTCATATTGGCTTAGACACTAAATGAGTGTTAGGCTGGTTATATTCAGGGTTTTTCTGTTCTCTGAGGATTAAGGCTGTGATTTGTTGAATTATACTTGAACTGGACCAGATGTACTATTTATTGAGCTTATATAATCTCGTTAATTTAAGTTTTGGCTTGTAAACAGTTGGAATTTGTAGTACTTGTTTAATTATATAGGAACGGTCACCAATATTAACTGATCTGTGTAACTGATTGCAAAGTGTTTCAATTTGTGTTTCTTAAAACGAAAGACTTTAATAAAGAGAATTATAAAGCATATATATTGGCAGGCGATTGTCCCAGCAACAACATGCTTCCAGCTTTCCAGGGGAGCTATTAAAAACCAGCATGAATAAAAGATAGTTTGGGAGGGTAGGATGGAAGGCAGGAGGCCAAAATGTTTGTTTTTAAATATAATTTCTAAA